GAGAGACCTGTATTGTATACGCAGCACTGTGGTATCTAACAAATTAATGTTGTCATATAGCCTACAGTATTTGTTTTCACCTAGAAGTAGACTGTGCTCGTAAATCATATTAAAGGAATTAATAATGTAAATAATATAACTGCTGTATTAATACATTCATACTATTAAAAAATAATATAGTAATTAACAGACACTTAAATGAATACATTATCATACGGAATTTGTTTCCACATGGAAGTATACAGTAGGATGTATTTGTGAATACAAGAGGGAAAAAGAAATGGTGTTCTATATATCAAGTACTGCACTGTCAATCAAGTATGACACAGCTGAAAACCCACAAACTATCTTAGTATCAAAGGAATTTTGACAGTTTTGGACATGGATGATTTTATTGGATATTAGATAGAAACTCCACCTTCTAATTTGCGTAGAAAGTGGACAGAAATAATTCTGTGCAGTACAGAAATATTTCGGACAGAATTATTTCAGTGAGAACAGAAATAATTCTCTAGTGACAGAAACAAAATTAAGTAGTACAGAATTGATTCTGTACTACAGAATAGTTAGAAAGTACCGTAATAATTCTGTAGCACATAATTATTTCTGTTAACACAGAATTAATTTTGTACACAGAATAGTATGACAGCAATAATTCTGTGACACATCATTATTTCTGTAACCACAGAATTAATTATGTACATATAATAGTGTGACAGTACTAATTCTTTGGTACATAATTATTTCTGTAACAACAGAATTAATTATGTACACATAATAGTTTGACAGTAATAATTATGTGGTACGTAATTATTTCTGTAACCTTTGCCTATTTAAAGACATAATTAGCAGTGTCCCAAACGGCGCTCTGTAAATAATTACGTTAGAAAGTGGGATCAATGGTTTGTTAGTCGGGTTGAACGCAATTTGCAACGATAGCAACTGGTAGTATCACGTGGTATCGTGCGGTAATACTGTAGTACTCTGAGTGCAAATCTACCGTGTAGGCTTGTTTGCTTCGAAATAGAAGAGGCTGTGTCGGTTTGGTAGTCTGGACAGGACTATATGTGTTGCTCGTATTTTTTGATAACTGATTATTACATTATACAAATGTTAAGTTAAAAATCCTGTATTTGGTATTGTTGGAACATGCAGTTTTAATTATTTGAATAAGTATAAAGCAATGGTTGACTATAGCAAGCGTTTTCTTTACCGATGGTTGTTCGACATTTCTGGAAGTTTCTTCGGTTTCCTTTAAGATAAAATTATAGGTATACATTTATTCGTGTGTTTATTCTGGTATAAAACATGTAAAAGTAAAAAGATGCATCGGTTGTTGCGACGGTTGAAGAAACCATCAATATTTTGAAACAACTGTTGTGCAAAGATTGCTACCAAAATTATGCTAGCCTCAACTATTGCAAAATAATCCTGAGCAGTGGACAGACACTTTGCCTTGGGTATTACTCGAGCGCATAGCAGTTATAAAACGGGAACTCTTCAGCAGAACCTGATGTATTTGGTGCTACTTTGTAATTGCTAGGACAGTACGTTTAAGCGTGGCAAGTTCCATTCGTCATTGTAAAACATGATGACTAAAAAATTCACGTAACAAGCAAACGTTGTTGCCTGTGGATATATACGGTAATTTCTTCGAGCTTTGAATCAGCTTTCAGTGGCGAATTCAATGGGGGCCCATCCGGTCCGGCCCCTCCGCCTCCCCTAAATTTTTAAAAATTTAAAGAAAAAAAAAAAAAAAAAAAATTCGACTCAAATTTTGCATCTAAGAGTGCCATATCCAAACATCTAGAGGTGCCATGATCATAAATGATCTTACCTCAGCCCCAACCATGGTGGGACTGAGGTAGTATAGACCCTCAATATATGACGTCTTTCTCCGGGCCCCCTCTATATCAAATTCCTAGATCCCCCACTCGCTTTTGTTCTTTAAGCAAACATCGTTTACACGAATTACCATAAAACCAGGGGTAAATGTTAGCGAGTGTTGCTATCTCACTTATAAGTATTAAAACGTATACAAATCGGCATTTAAGTTATTTTGAAATGTCTTATTGGTAACATTTATTTATTTTAAATTAGCAATTCAGTGTTATGTAAAAAATTGAGGCTATTTCGTTTGATTTTTGAAGAGATACCCTATCATCTTTCTTACCGGAGGTAGCTCGTAAGCTATGCAGGATGCTGTTTCGGTGACCTTTAAATGAAATGATATCAATCAATAAGAAAATTATCTTCCTCTTTATATAAATTCATATTTATTAGTGTTACTACTACTATCCATGACATAATTTATCATGACAAACAAAATTAACGTTTGTTAATGGAACATTAACCAATGAATAATGTATGATAGCCACACTAATATATTAATGTTAGTACGCTGCGATTCAGAGGCATGTCAGGTTTGTGTGTATTGCTTAAGTGCACATGTTGTATTGTTGTATATGAGGCCCAATATTAGTTTACGGTATCTTCAGTGACATCACTTTATGGTTATCATATTATCTATATCCGACTAAAATAAAAGTAGGCCAAGCCTATGCCATAATTATCATCTTAGCCAAAATAAAAGCCCCCGCCAGTTTAGTAAAGGTTGTATCAGTATCAGTATGTACATGATACTGGTATCGCACCTGTGCTTTTGAAATTCTCATTTTCCAGAGGACGGCACATACAAGTGAAGATAAAAGGATTCCCATAAAGAAACCTAAAAACGTCATTCCAGCAACAAAAACAGTATAAGAGCTTGACGATTTCTGAGGTAGGCCTACTATGTAAACAAAATACTAATAGTCAGAACATAATAGTTATATTTACATAATAATAAACGATAGTACGTATTATAAAACATTGTATTTGTGTTATAGATCATTATATAATTTCACAAAAAGCAGAATTAAAAGGATTCCCATAAAGAAACCTAAAAACGTCATTCCAGCAACAAAAACAGTATAAGAGCTTGACGATTTCTGAGGTAGGCCTACTATGTAAACAAAATACTAATAGTCAGAACATAATAGTTATATTTACATAATAATAAACGATAGTACGTATTATAAAACATTGTATTTGTGTTATAGATCATTATATAATTTCACAAAAAGCAGAATTATTTGACTTTTTATTGGCATTTAATGTACATAAAGTGTGTTACAAGGCGAGTCGACCAATCAATCCATCAATAAATCAATATCATCATTCAGTCAGTCAATCATAAAAAATAATAGAGAAACAAATTACGTGAATAAGTAGAAACATTTGAATACTGAAACATTTGTAGTTCATATAGGGCCTAGTACATTCATGATTATAAAATAGTAAATTAATAAATAAATGCGTAAATCAAACAAAAAATAAACGAACTTATTACTGAGCAAATCATGAAATTAATGAAAGGATGGATGCGTCGATGGATTGATGGGCGGACAGATAAATGAATGAATGAATGAATAAATAAATAAATAAATAAGTGAGTGAGTGAGTGAATGAATGAATGTAAGATTTAAGAAATATATGAATATATTTAAACTTACCCGTTTTGGCATCAGTTTGGTGCCTAGCAATAATTGGATACTCAAATTAACGCATATTTATAGTAAACATTATGTTTATTTTTTATTTCAATTGGAATCGTAAATAAAAAAAATTCAGTAGGCCTATAAATGAAGAAAATACGTACTTGTTCCGGAGGGACTTGATACGAGTGTCGTTGATGGTGCTGATGAAAAATGTACATGTATTTCAAATTACAAATAAACGCAATTTCACTTTGATTTAACAAACGTTTATTATTTAATTTTATAAGAGTTTTCATGACGAATAATCCTAGTCAATATAAAAATGAAGTCAATATAACATCAATTCAACAATGGTCAAAAATAAGAAATAACATCTAAAACGAAAAAAACAGAACAGAGTCGACCAATCAATCCATCAATAAATCAATATCATCATTCAGTCAATCATAACAAATAATACAGAAACAAATTACGTGAATAATTAGAAATATTGGAGTGCTGAAACATTTGTAGTTCTAATAGGGCCTAGTACATTCATGATTATAAAATAGTAAATGAATGAATAAATGCGTAAATCAAACAAAAAATAAACGAACTTATGACTGAGCAAATTATGAAATAAATGAAAGGATGAATGCGTCGATGGATGGATGGGCGGACAGATAAACGAATGAATGAATGAATAGATAAATAAAAAATAAATGAATAAATGAGTGAGTGAATGAATGAATGCAAGATTTAAGAAATATATGAATATATTAAAACTTACCCGTTTTGGAAATACTTGCTATAGATGTCCAATGTGTTGGTAATGAAGATGTATTTAATAATAATAAAAAAGAAACGTGAATAACGTTTTGAACTTATTTTAATTGTTGGAGAACGTATCAATTTTATTTCAATTAATCAGTCATTTCATCAATATATTATCATTTTAAGAATTAACATAATACAATACAAATTACAATATGAGGTTATAACAAATGGTGTGTATATAAACGAAGGGAGAAATAATAGTAGGCCTACACAAATCAAATCATATATTGTATTCAGTAACAATAATCCCATCTTTATCATGAGAATATACAAACGAAGTCAGTTTGGTGCCTAGCAATAATTGGATACTAAAATTAACACATAATTATAGTAAACATTATGTCATTGTTTATTTTCTATTTCAGTTGGAATCGTAAATAAAACAAAACAAAATTCAGTATAAATGAAGAAAATACGTACTTGTTCCGAAGGGACTTGATACGAGTGTCGTTGATGGTGCTGATGAAAAATGTACATGTATTTCCAATAACAAATAAACGCAATTTCACTTTCATTTAACAAACATTTATTATTTAATTTTATAAGAGTTTTCATGACGAACAATCTAAGTCAATATAAAAATGAAGTCAATATAACATCAATTCAACAATTGTCAAAAATAAGAAATAACATCTAAAACAAAAAACAGAACAATACCCTCATTTGGATCAAGACTAGAAAATGGATTAAGATATTCACCAAAAGCATTATTGAATAATTGTATTGCAATTATGTTTACAACTTACATGTAGGTCTAAACAGTAGCAGAGTTCCTTTATTACTCAGCTTTCCTTCATCCCCACTGTAAGCTGCATTCTCTGCTCGACACTGGTAGTCTCCTTCATCCATTTCATTGACTTTGCTGATCTCTAATGTTGTATCAGATTGTGGATACTTTGCAGTATCACACACATTAAGTACGCCGCCATCTTTGATCCATGTAGTGGTGATAGGTGTTGGAACACCATCAGATAAGGTACATGTAAATGTCGCAATTTCATTTTCGTTGAGAATTTTCTCTTTTGGTTCCAAATTAGGTGTGTCAAGATCTGACAGTAATGGAAGTTCAAATTACTCAAAAATACGAAATTATTAAAACATACAAAAATATCATCCTTTTGGTATCGAGGTTTTTTCAGGCTGCAGTGGGAAGCAAGTGGAATAAATTTCCCTAGGACATCCGTTGCATTTTTACTCTTAGTGAGTTCAAGTCAAAACTGAAAGTTTTCCTTTTCCTTTATTTTGATTAATTTGTCAACAAATAGCCCCTCCCTCTATTCTTTAAAATGTATTTCCCGTTTCTTTGTTTGAGCCACCTAGGAAGAGGTTCGGGTACGCGACAGAGTCCGGATGGATGGATGACCCGCAAGAGGTTTTGCACTTTTTTCCTGTTTTCACCACTAGTTAAATTGATAAAGATATATTCGAAATATTATTTTAAAAAGTAAAAAATTAACAATAGTAAAAATAGATTAAAAACAATTACAGAAAAGGCTGCTGCTCTCTGTAGGTGGAAATACCGCCACTAATAGCTCTCTGAAATGGATACATGCGCCTTCTAAGACGGAAAACGGTAGACCGAGTAGCAGTGAACCTGTCTCTTATACACATCTAGATGTGTATAAGAGACAGACTTGATACGAGTGTCGTTGATGGTGCTGATGAAAAATGTACATGTATTTCCAATAACAAATAAACGCAATTTCACTTTCATTTAACAAACATTTATTATTTAATTTTATAAGAGTTTTCATGACGAACAATCTAAGTCAATATAAAAATGAAGTCAATATAACATCAATTCAACAATGGTCAAAAATAAGAAATAACATCTAAAACAAAAAACAGAACAATACCCTCATTTGGATCAAGACTAGAAAATGGATTAAGATATTCACCAAAAGCATTATTGAATAATTGTATTGCAATTATGTTTACAACTTACATGTAGGTCTAAACAGTAGCAGAGTTCCTTTATTACTCAGCTTTCCTTCATCCCCACTGTAAGCTGCATTCTCTGCTCGACAATGGTAGTCTCCTTCATCCATTTCATTGACTTTGCTGATCTCTAATGTTGTATCTAATTGTGGATACTTTGCAGTATCACACACATTAAGTACGCCGCCATCTTTGATCCATGTAGTGGAGATAGGTGTTGGAACACCATCAGATAAGGTACATGTAAATGTCGCAATTTCATTTTCGTTGAGAATTTTCTCTTTTGGTTCCAAATTAGGTGTGTCAAGATCTGACAGTAATGGAAGTTCAAATTACTCAAAATACGAAATTATTAAAACATACAAAAATATCATCCTTTTGGTATCGAGGTTTTTTCAGGCTGCAGTGGGAAGCAAGTGGAATAAATTTCCCAAGGACATCCGTTGCATTTTTACTCTTAGTGAGTTCAAGTCAAAACTGAAAGTTTTCCTTTTCCTTTATTTTGATTAATTTGTCAACAAATAGCCCCTCCCTCTATTCTTTAAAATGTATTTCCCGTTTCTTTGTTTGAGCCACCTAGGAAGAGGTTCGGGTACGCGACAGAGTCCGGATGGATGGATGACCCGCAAGAGGTTTTGCACTTTTTTCCTGTTTTCACCACTAGTTAAATTGATAAAGATATATTCGAAATATTATTTTAAAAAGTAAAAAATTAACAATAGTAAAAATAGATTAAAAACAATTACAGAAAAGGCTGCTGCTCTCTGTAGGTGGAAATACCGATAGCTCTCTGAAATGGATACATGCGCCTTCTAAGACGGAAAACGGTAGACCGAGTAGTGGCTACTCACTGAACATGCAACAAGCAAGCAATGAAAAAAGTGTAAATACAGTACTTACAGTGAACTGTTAATTTTGAGAACCCACTTTTGCGTTGTCACCGGAGGATGTAGATACTCTACATAGGTAGTAGCCTGTATCGTTAACTTCAACATCAGATATAATGAGGTATCCATCAGGACTTATGCTGTATCTACCTTTAGGTTCTGTATTTAATATATTCGTTATAATAGCATCCCCCAGTAGTACACCATCTGCGTCACTTTTTAACCAAGTCTCGTACAACACATTTTCTCCTGGTAGGATTGTTGAAAATGCATATGTTATCAATGCATCTTCATTCAATTTTGCTGTAGCAGGCTGCACTGTCACGGTTGATGATTGAGCCAGGATATCTGGAACTAAAGCAAAAGTTTGAATCAAACTAAAAGCATACCATGATAGACCTACTGGCAAATATCGTAGAGGCCTCTATGAATTGAGTAGAAAATACTTGGAACTAGTAGCATTGTGATGGAATTTCTTATAATGTAATGAAACTTAAACAAACCTAACTGTACATTTAGGTAGGCCTAATATAAAACTTTTGTTTCTTTAACTGCAGTTGACCTATGGTCTTGGCTGAAGAAAAACTAACGAAATACATAAAAAATGTAATATTTACCAGCACTTGAAGCCAAGGTTATCAAGCAGACAAAGTACATTTTGCGATAATTCTTAAATTTTCACCTTCAGTATCATACATATGTATCATCGATGTAAAAACATACACTGTCTGAATAATGATAAGACTTTACTTATATAAGCAAAACAAATCCAAAAGAAAATTTCATTTTTTAATCACTACTGCTTTCCTTTAACTTGCTTGGTAGAGTCACTTATAGACAAGCATGAATCCGATGTTCAAATCGGAAAATAATTAGCGTTTTGATGGAAATTATAAACCTATATAATTCTTCCGGTTATCTTAAAAATCGTTGAGGGCGTTGTGTACAGTCGTTTTCGTTACTATGTTTTTTTTTTAAATTAAAAATATCAAAATAAGGCGCTGCATTCAAAAGCAGGAAATACTGAATCACACATACACACGTTAACTTTTAACATAGACTGCTTAAAACCAATAATCAATGTGCTTGTTATATCGTCGAAGACCTATACCCTCGTCTTTTGAATTTTGTCAATCAAAAATTTAATTTATTTATGAAAATAATATAAATTATTGTAATTGCAAAAAAATTCTTGAGAAATCGTTAAGGGAGAGTTGATGTTAAAATTGATCTATTTCAACATTTCTAATACCCTTTAGAACAGGACAAGTTAAAAGAAAGCGAGTAATATTTTCTTCCTCGTTCACATTACAGCATTTACAGAGTTCATTAGCATTAGAGTCATTAGACCATTATGCAATTTTACCATAATATCAAGAGGAAGGGTATTTAACCTTACTCGAAATTTCAACGTTGCACCTTCAGAGTCATTGTTGTCAAGCAGATATTCCTCCAATTTACGTGCATTTTTAATAAGCATATAATTTTGAATTGACGAAACTATTCCTTCTTTAAACTACGAGATAGCGAAAGTGCGAGATCTCTTAGAAATTGTTTTGTGTTGAAATCCAATTGCATTTTAATGTTATTATTGCCGTTACGAATGTTAAAGAATATACTATTGTTATCTTTCAGGATATTTTCAATGTGAAGTGGAATTTTAAAAGCAGTGTCATGAAGGATTTGGCAACGTATAAAATTGCATATCCCCTTTTATCAGGAAAAAACATCCATAGTTAATCATGTTCAGGCGAACGTTATCCAAAGAGAGTGACGAGTGTTTGAAGCGCTGTAACTTAAGTTGTAAACGAGTGTCCTGAAGACAAACGAGAGTGTCCTAGAAGATAAACTATAGTGCCCTAGAAGACAAACTGTCTTTGCTTTCCATCATGGGGGTCGTGACCGCTTATCTACCAGTTGCTAAGGTTCTACTGACACTGCCCAGTTTTAGCTACAATGAAATTTTAAAGTTAAAATAAAAACTTACAAACACTTCCTGGGATGTAATATGTGCATTTTAAAGACACATAAGTATGACATAAAACATTTATGATGAAAATTTCAAAATCAATTCAAAGAAAAGCCGATGGTTGCTTTTACAGGATAGCGTATAACACACAAGAAAGAGTTATGCCTTACTTGTTGCCTCATGCCCTAACCACATAAATCATGAAAGTGAAGACTGAGCAACTACAACAAACCCGATACTATGTGTATAAAGGACCCTTTCACGACTGCGTCTCGAAAAAGCATAGTCCTCAATGTTTTGCGCGTATAATACGAGAATCAATAAAATAACGTGTTAAAACCATAAGTGTGTCAGGTTTCATTTTAGTTTTTCATTTAGATTTTTATAGGTACGAAATATTCAGTAGCACCTGCTTCCCTTATCAGTGATACTCGTACGCTGATGAAGGTAGCGGGTGCTACCGAAAATTTCGTACCTATAAAAAATCAATGTCTCAATTAAGTCAAAGTGTCTTGCAGTACTTTCATGTCTGTCAACAATTCTATAATTGAGGCATACGTGGAACCGCATCTCTTATACACATCTAGATGTGTATATTGTATCGATTTTCTAACAGTTGTCATTACAAACTTTATTCTAGTCAATAAAGACTAATAATAATAATAATAATAATAATAATAATAGTCACGAAGTCAATATAACATTAATTCAACAAATTAAAAAATAACATCTTAAACAAAAAACAGAACAATACACTCATTTGAATTAAGATTAGAAGTTAAAAAAATTGTCTTCACCCATTGAAACGCAAAAACAAATTCATACTACAACTATATTACATGGAGATATTCACCAAGAGTATTATTGAATAATTGTATTGCAATACATAAATTATGTTTACAACTTACAAGTATGTCTTGTTACAGAGTTCCTTTAATACTCAGCTTTCCTACCCGCATTGTAAGCACCTTCAACCATCCCCTCCCTCCAATATTATCCCCATTGTAAGCTCCATTCAAACATCCCCTCCCTTCAATCTTCAAAATGTATTTACCGTTTCTTTGTTTGAGCCACCTAGGAAGAGGTTCGGTAACGAGACAAAGTGGTGATGGATGGATGACCCCCGCGAGGTTTTGCACCTGTTTTTGCCTGTTTCACCATTAATTATGTTGATAACAAATCTATAAAAAAAAAATTATTTAAAAAAGTAAAAAATTAAAAAAAATAATAATATAAGAAAATACAGAAAAGGATGCTGCTCTCGGCAGGTGGAATTGGTGACGCGAACAGCTCTGTGAGATGGATACGTGCGCCTAATAATGTAATATAATGAACCCAGTACGGGCTACGCACTGAACATACTACAATCAATAGGATATGCTTTTGCAGTACATACAGTGAACTGTTAAAAAACATAGTTTCAAAAAAATAATTAAATTAAAATAAATACATAGGCCCTACATATAATCATTGTTAAGTGCTTCGAGGCTTTTATTAGTGTAAGGCACTATAATTATTATTTATTTAATCACTGCTATTCGTCTTATCTTTGGATGTGTATTTTTGTAATTTTCCCCATAGCTTAAAAGTTAAAATACCAAATTTCGTTCGTTTCGTTTATTTTATTTAATATATCAAAGTAATGTGATATGTAGGCGATGATAACTACGGGTAAAACTCTTGAGCTCTTTTACCATGTTTTTTTAGGCCAAGTAGTTTCTCGCCCTAATTTTTGGAAAAAAAAAGGAACGGGGGCTCTTTTTTTCCTTTTTTCTTTTACTCCGAGATGGCAAATTCAAGATGGTCAATGGGAAATAGCTACTACTTTCTCACTTTTACCAAGTAGACACATTAAAAGCAAATAGAAGCACTAGACATGATTCATACTATGTTTCCCCAACCATGAACGATTGAGAGGAATTTTACTGATGCGAGTTAGCCAGATTTTTTGAAATTTTGAACTTTTTTTTTGGAACTTTTTGAAGGGCAATTATTCAAACGGGGCGCTTATGAAAACAGAGTGGAAATTGATTGGGCTCTTATGTGAAAAGATGAAAATTGAGGGGGTTCTTATGTGAACTTGGAAATTTCAAGGGGCGGATTTTGAATGAAAAAGATTAGCTTGTACCTTGTTGTCATCTGCCGATTGAGATAAGCAGGATCATTGCAGGGTTTCTTGCAAACTCATAGATGCTAATGGTGCACATTGTCGGGAAAATAAAAAAGGGAAGTAGGACTAGATAAATGCAATAAGAAATTTTGAAAGATACTGTCCAGGGAGCTCTCACCTGTACAGGAGAAATATCCTCATTTTCAAGAAAATGTGAATCCACTCCGCAGCTCAAATCATGTCACCCACAGTTTCAGTATTGATTGGATTATTGGCTTGCTAAAACGTATCACATTATATTCATGATATCAAATCAAAATCTTAATTTATTCACGAGATAAATTTTAACATAAAAGCTCGTTCACCAGAGGTGTTCTTCCACGAGTTCGTGAGGAAATATAAAAAATACAAAAAAATAAATCAGAAAATATACAGCGAATTAGACATTACAAAAATAAATACCATACAAAATACATCACGGGTTAACATTTTTTGGATTTCTTTTTTGAAAACATTTAGAAATACAGGCAGCTCATTAATATCAACATTGTACTTATTCCATGTTATGGCACCCCCACCCTATAGGAAAGACTACGTTTTTTATATTCAGGATGTGGTTTCGGAATATAAAGATTTGTATTTCAATCCTAAAGTTATAATTGAATTTATTTAGTTTTACTAGATTTGACAAATAAGGGATGTCAAATATTCCTTAAAGAAAATCCAATTATAAACAATCACTTTTATTTATTTATTTCTTTTACTTTTTTCACATATTGCTTTCAAAAATGAATAAAAATCAAACTGAGGAGTGCTTATTCAAAATGGCGCTTAAGAAAATTCTCACGTTAGGAAGGGCGCTTATTCACGCGAGTACGGTACTTAGACCTATATGCTTTTAATTGACAGATTAAGGTAACTAATTATGTTGTTGCCAGCAGTACGCAAGAAAATGTTAGAATAGGAAGAAACCCCAGCGCCACTACAGAATTAGAGGGTGTATTGCAAGGTGCACCGTTTTACCTACACCGGTTACACATAAAGATGTATTGTCCCATGCTAAATACCAAACAATCATAAAAATATTTTTTGAAATTAACTTGCCCATTTTGAAGTAACATAAAAGTTATTCAACTTAGAAATTAGCGTAGGCCTATTTAAAAAATTCCAACCCATCAGTTTACAGCGAAAAATGATAGAAACACTTCCAGTCACTGGAAGTATTTTATTTATTTTTTTTTAAATATAATAATTTTTGGGTTTAAAAATCAGGGTATACATTTTTGAAATTCAATAATTTTTATGCACAAGCTAATAATAATTTGTATGTTATTGCAATATGAGCAAGTTTATTTCAAAATAATTTTTTAAGGATTTTTTTGACATTAGCAAGCCTTTGTTCAGTCAAATATGCACAAGAAAATTTGAAAGCATACATTTTCAAAGAGTAGATCATAAGCACATCATCATCATCATCATAATCGTCAGCATATCGTCGTCACGTAATATTTCATTATTATGATTTATGATGATATTGATGAATAAATTGTGGTGTTAATTGCCACAAAAAGAGAATAAAAAACTTTAGGCCTACTCAAAATATTGAGGTCGGGATTTTAAAATTGTTAATATAGAATTAAATATTTTGAAAAAAAAATGAGATCTGCTTTGCACACATAGATAGAAGTGTAAAGCGTGTAAATCACAATGTTCTTAGTTTTAAAAAAAGGATTATATTTAATTTTGTTATTGAAGATTCTTAAACTGTGGGCCTACTCTAATTGTTTAGGTAGGGTTTTTAAATGTTGTACAAGACTATAAGTGAAATGTTTTTAAATGTATAGAAAAGGTATGATATATGTTTTTATACACACAAACTAGTGTAAAACGTGTAAATTAACAATAAAAGAAAAGAAACAATAAAAAAATTAAAAAAACTGACAAAAAAATAAAAATCTTCAAAAAATCTAAAAGAAATATCATATTACATGGAAAACATAAAATGTAAAACGATAACGACGTAAAATCAAGACTCACAAATCTACACATAGTAGACTAGTTTATTTCTTGGCTAATACAAGCGTATACTTCATTCACTGAAAGTTACCATAGAAAGCAAACTTCAAAAAGGAAATGCATATCTTTTGGAGGATAACAATACTAATGCTCCTAAAATACATCAACATTACACCTAAAATATATAAAATTGCAACAAACCATTAATATCTGATTCATATCTTGCCATGTCACTACTACTACCAAGTGTAAATTTAGTATCTTACTGTAGACCTAAACATCAGTGGGCATATATCAATGTTTAAATACGTTGACAATAATAAAGATAAACAATGTTTACTTCCCTATAATAAGATGTTATTACAACGCACTTTCAAAACAGATTATGTCTTATGGTTCTTGCAACACAGCACCTACATTCTATGTCAGGGTCTAAAGTTCAAATCTTTATTGAGCCAGATTTCTATGTTTTCGTTTACATCCTCAATTGAAAACCAAATTCTCTTTTATTAATTAAAAAGAAAAAAAAAAACATTTTAAGCTTTTAAGCAACATGACTAACACAGTTTTGAATAAAAGAATGAAAAAAAAGAGGAGGAGGATAACAAAAATGTAAAGAAAGGAAAAATGAAAAGCACGGACGAAGACAGTGGGGACCGAGGGTAGGGAACCGTCGGGAGAGCTGGTTCCCCACCCCCAACGGGAGAAAAAAAAAACAAACACAAGTCGTCGGGAAGAAAAAATTATTCGTATTTTATATCTATTAATAACTTTAAAATCGATTAAATAAGCATTTGGAACCCCTAAATCGTCATAGTTTCCTAGAGATTTTGATGAATTCCCGACCACGCCCACGTACCACGTAGGAGGCATCGGATCAGGGGACCACCCCTAATGAATAGGAACAAATAATGAAGGGGTGGTATTTGGTATGTGCATCCTCCAAAAGATTCCATGCAGGAATTTAGACTGGAGGCTCGATGAGGGTGGACTGCGTTTTAATTAATTATAATTTTGTTTTTGGATCTGGAAGAGGTGGGTTTAGAGAAGAAAATTAATAACAGTGTTTCGATTTACACTATATCGGATTGATCTTTTCAATGCAGTCTCCTACAGTGTTTTGTTAATATGTAGGAAGTTTATGGACCTGTTTCCAAAACGAAGTAGACTGATTAGCATTCATTGACAAACCGGCACTAAATGCCCAGAAACACAAGGTAAATGCACAGCAAGAGATTGGATAACCCGACCTTATAACTGTTGGATGCAAAATGGAGGAGTGGAAAAGGATAAGTTTGAAGAGTAGGACGAAAGATTAAGGGTGCAAAAAATAAAGAAAAAGGAATAAGGAGTAATAAACTAGTGTCAGCCAGCACTAATAGGCTTTGTTTAAAACATTCGAATTTTACAATGGCAAAATATGAAATACAGTACATAAGCATGAAAATATATAGTACTTGGTACTTAGTAATAACACAACAGCAAGCAAACTCTATTGTACTTGGTACCTTCTGAACATTAAAATACTAATAAACGAGTTTGTATAAACAATATAAATTAATTACTTGAGCTAAAATTACCTTTTTTTTTTTTGGTTAGGATATCTAATATCTTGTTATTGTATTATCAAACTAAACACTTTAAAGTGTACCAAAACTGAACATTACAACATGAAATCAGTTATAAAACTAATTAATATTTTTAATATTTAAGATAAAAACCACAAAAATATACATCAAGTTTTCAATTACAAATGGGGTGAGATACTTTTGGTTTTAAAAAAATGTTTTTTCCAACATCATCAACAAAGAACAAGTAACAAATCAAATAAATTTATCCTAAACCGTCATCATTATTTACAAATAAAATAAAACATTAATTAACAGTGGCTTCCATGACGTTCAATGGGGTGAGGGCAACATTTGAAAATCATATTCCTAAAGACACGGAAATACAAAAGAGCTCTTAAATGAAAATAAAATACAAGTCATTTATAAGAACCATATAAATAATCAACTTTTAAAAAATTTACAATAATAAAAATAATAATAATAATAATAAATTTATTTATCAGTTTACAGATGCTTTACTCCTTCTGTTTTAAGAATACTGTAAAATCAAATTATAGGAATGAGATCCAAACGTCTGTTCAATTGGAATGGAAGCCAAATGCTTTTTGAAATATAAAAATTACCAATTCATTAAACAAAAATTACAATATTAAATTTTGGTATTAGTACCGTATATCTTTAAAACAAATATAGATGTATGGTGAAGAAACTGAAATCACAATAACAATTACGTACATTTAAACAGTTGTTACCTTTAGAGTTGATGTTTGTTTATTTATTTTTTCTTCATCTAGCATACATTTTTATATTGTGATTTTCTTTTTCTGGAAAAAATAAACATTTACTTAATTGATGCATTTTATTGGTTGATACCTAGTTAATTTACTCCAGTTTGGTGTATTTTTGTCTTGGATACTTTAGTTTACTTTTAATTTTATATTATCATAATTTTACGTTTGTAAAAACACTACAATTCTGTGTTATTATTTTATGTAGGCCACTTTATGCAGCACTGTCTACAATAAACGTGATGACTGATAACGTTATTGCGATTGATTGACAGATCCAAGATTTTGATAAACATAGGGAACGAAAGGCAGATCTACCAATTTAAAATGTGTTTTAATAAACAAAACCCTCACCATTTACATATTCAAATATTAATTATTAAGGATGGTATTCCATCAAGCAATAGGTTAACATATTAGGACCAAAGATAAAACTACAATAATAAAACTAGTTAGAATCCCAGATATTGTGCATTATATATTGATAATAACAGTAGTAAACTTGCTTAAAATGTAAACAAAATCAAACTAATTATGAGGTCAAAAAAGTGTTGTGTTGCCCAAGCAAACTGACATTTCAGAATCAGGGTCTGCTTATCAGTAATTTTTTTTCTTAATGTTAATCAAATTCTAAGGTTCATTGTCAACATCACTCACCTTATACAATTTGGATGGTAAAATAGTTACTACAGGCCTAAAATGGTTTAGATAGCAAAAAGCTTGACATCAGCAAATAAAGTAATTTGGGTTCCTTCTTGGTAGAAACCAAAACAAAAAGTGACCCTAAATAATCAAAACTGTTGGTCAGATGGGCAACACAACTTTTTTGCCTGAAGGCCATTGCATCCAAGTATTCACAAAAACATTTATATATGATGCTGGAATATTCAGTCTCGGCTTCCATAGAGAGCATGGTTGCCATCATTGACATTCTTGGTCAGATCATGCACAGCATACGTCGGGTTTTCTACCTTCTGAATAAATAAAATTCATGGAGAGATCTTAAATCAGAAAGATGTCAAAATAAAAAAATGTATAATAAGAGTGAATGAATAACGCTTAGAAGCTATGGGAAGCTGCCGATAATTTAAAGTTGCATAACACTTTTGAAAACCCTTGGTTCATATGTGTAGATATTTTTTGATTCAAATGATAGTAACACACTACTCATACATGTCACAGCGGTTGATTATTAATATAGTGCTTTACACAGCATCTATCTACTGTACAGTACTCACAGAATTGTATAGCAATGTTATACAGTAGTATCTATTCAATTGCAATTATTGTATTTATACTATCATTACACTTACTTTAGCAATGGCTCCTTTATGTAGTCTTCACAACTAGACAGCAAGTATAGAGAAAAAAATATCATTGCATCAAATCAGATTAATTATTGTAATCATCATATAATTGAAACTATTGTTAATGTAGATATTTTATCAAATATAAGCTAAATAATTACCAAGCATACTGCTTTGTTTTAGTTACTAGATTAATTACATCAGTACTATTTTAATTACACAAAAATATGCCATGCTGTTGTTGAAGCATTATCCTTCATTATGTACAAATTCTAAATTTAGCTTTTTGAAAGTGGCGCATTTACTAATAGTGTTTTTGGTTCTTAATAGTATGTGTCCAAGTTTTACAGACTACCATATCTACCCTTTGTACTTTTAATGGTTTTAATATGAGTGTTACTAACACACAATTTGAAGAAAAGTTATCTGAAAAAGATGTGAGGATGAATAAAAGTGATCTAATATCTCTCTCTCACACCTGGTTAATGATGAGCAGTCATAATTTTTCTGTAAATTTTCTACACAAATTTCCATAAGTTGTGGATGGTGGGTGTTTAGATCCTTTTCTACTTGGTCAATATTATGTTATAACATATATGTTCAACTACAGAAGTAGAAAATACTTACACTTTACATAAGCAAAAATCAATTATGAAGTCAATTTTTAATACTTAATAAAATATATCTAACATCTACATATATAATGCTAATAAACTAAAAAGACATTTTCTAAGGTACAAATTGTCACACTTACCATAGATTACACCCACTATAATATGAGGTATGACAGCCGCTAGGAAAGCTGCAAAACAAATCAAATAAAAAATTTAATCAATATTGAAAACATGAAACAGTAGCTTGTCAATGGTTCTGCGATGCCAAAAAAAATGTATACAATGGTAACTAATGTATTGAAGTCAAATTACAAATGACAAAATATTTAAATTAATATTTTTTATGTGTGGGTGTAATCTGATGATGATGGCTTTCTTGATAATTATAATAGTTTAAGCTACTGGTCCCGTGTGCACTACGGCCTGTGTACATGTTAAAGAACGCAGTACACTATTCGGAAAAGAGTAAGGGATTGTTTTCTGGTGTGCTGTCCAATCACCACCAGAAGGACCCCAATGAAAATAAGTCTTTCTCAGATTTCTGTGAGTTATCCTTGAAGTGTTTACACCGAATAAATCAATCCATTACATTAGTCTTAGACTAAACCTTGTCAAGTATAAAGTATATGCAAGTAAAAAAAACTTGACTGCTGGCCTCTCCTCGGAGGAAGGAACTGGAGCTTGCAGGAACATGGTAATGATAGTGACAGCATCTCAAAATCAGGAGTGCGCAGCTTCTCCTCTGTGCGTTTGTACTGTTCATCTATAAGTTTTATCTTTTTAGTGGTGTAACAGCATCTTGAGAGGTTTATATATTTTTTTTTTATTGTGGAAGGCACTATAAAATGCATTATTATTACTGAACATTGATCATAAAAATAGAACCACATTCATCCATTTTGATATTATTACCCCTTCGTACATTATAAATAAAAATAATGTAAATAATATGAATATTCGCTACTTTATATTAGTTCAATCAATTTATGGAGAAACAGTTAGCCTGTCAATAAATGTGAGGGATACAAGGAGAATGTAATGCAAATTTAATGAAGATGCAGATTGAAAATATCAATTAAACTACAAGCAAACTAAATAAAGTAAACTTGGCGTATATTGGGACTTACCCCATCCAAGCATGATACGAAAGTCAACATTTTTAAACCACTCTGAAATATAATAATAATTATTATTGAGTATTATTAGTAATAAAATGATAATATATAATTCTATATATTTATTAGAAGCAAATCGTGACATCATTTGAAGTTCTATACAATTTCAAGCAAACTACCAATCATGTTATTAAGATGCCTTTGACATCAATACAATTCACAATGAATGAAAGACAAACAAAATAAGGTGATATTTTAACAAGAATGTTAGTGAAAGGAACTCACCTTTTTCTTTCAGTGCATCTTTCTGCTTTTCAAAAATACCTGAAAGAGTGAAATAAAAACTGATTTTATTCAGTACAATATATATATTTTCAGAAGATAATGCATGAAAGTTGTTTAAAATCTGAAACAAATACTTTGAAAATTTTTGAATCTACTTTTATTAATGTTGGCCCTACATGTATCTTAAAAATTACAATTTAAAAGAGAGTTAAAACTGTAGCTACCAAAAAAAATGATAAAACTACACAAAAACTTATGACCATTTACAAATTCAAATGCATTCAAATCACCAATTGTATTGCTCCGGTGTATAATGTTGTTATTGCATTGATACAAAGGGTGTGACCATTGAACAATGCAAATAACGCATGAAAACAAAATTTTGCGATGACAATGTAGTTAAATTGCAGGGTAAGCTTAAAACACTTACAGTCCTAAATAACATTTAGTCTACAGTAGGTTCCCTCTCCAGGCCAGTTGTTATTTGTACTTTGTGATCCAACTGTAGCTGTTGGCAATATATGCAGCAATTTTATGGAAATCCGGCTTTACTTTGTAGAGACTTGCATGCTCATATTGATTCAAAATGACCAATACAAAATTATTAAAACCACTTAACCAACCACTTAGTTGATTTTAAGTTCACTTGCCATCTCTCTTAAAAAATCTCAAATTGACTAAATTAAATACTTACCATTCTATAAAATTTGACACCAAATATTTTGTATCTAATATACACCAAGACGACTAATTTTAAAGCATAGTCAATTCTCTTCTTGGTCATGCTAAAGTGACTGATAGTTTCTGTGTTAAATGTAAATCAAAATATACATTGATCATTTCTCCAAGCAAAATATTGCTGATTGTGATTGTACTTACAAAGTGACCAAAGGGATATACGAGACAAGGGTTAGACTTAGCATCTAAATATTAAGTGTAAACATGCTTTACATTTATTGACTCATTTTTTAAACTAAATATAGAGCTCCTGTATGGGTCAGCAACCAAAATTGGTTGAATTGGTGAAAGCTTGGCAAATTTTACTAATTTACTCAGAGATCTGATAAACTGGTTTTTGAAAATAATCTTCATTTTATTGCACAACTTTAACTCAAATTTTTCCGTTGAGGCTGGGTTGGTGTACATACTCAATGGTCATCAGGTACATGCTGTGTAAATGAATACATATAAGCCTTAACTTATTATCTGTACCCTACTTTACCTGTACTGGTTGAAAGTTAAATTTCTATTTCTATGTTAATACACACTAGAATAAACAATATATTATTGTTTCAATATTCATCTCTGAAATAAATGAAATAATGTGATACTTTATCAGCAAAGTCTCTTCATAAGGCTTAAGGAGTGGAGTTGTTTAGTCGCGAGAAAAAGTTGTGTTACTGTGACAGGAATTGAACCCAGGACCCTGGGATTAGAAGGCGAGCATCTTAACCACTGAGCTTTTCAACTCCACTTCAATTGTCTCACAATATCAGTGCCGATGGGTGTCGTCATGTGCAGCAAAATAAAATTAAATGTGTTAAGAAAACGCATTTAATAAGATCTCTTGGAAGGACTTCTTCCAACTTGCAAAACTTACCACACTTGAAACACAAAACGGAACCTACAGCAAGAAGCATGTAAATACAGCCACACGAAACGACAACTAAAAAAAAGAAACAAAGAACCAATATTAAACATTTTCAATCATAATAATAATAATAATATGTTTTAAAAACAATGAAAAATAAAATACACAGGAAAATTCATTACAACTTGATTTTCAAATCATATAATATTTTTAGAAATCACAGACTTAACACAGCATTATAGACAAAATGGTTACCTTAATTTACAAAATATATTATGATATATTGTGGTTAAAAATTAAAGATGGTTATGTCTGCAAAAAACAGTGTCCACTTCATCTTGTACAAAATAGGACTGTACAGGAAATATAGTGGTAAAGTCATTGTTTTTGTTCTGAGTGGTTTTTTTTCTTCTATTCTGTTTTCATGTTTTTCCACATGGTTTCAATTAATATGATGCAGCATTATTATAAATTAACTAATTGTTGAAATCATAAGATTAACCTGATTTTGGTAGTTCTAAAATTCATTTTTACATTCAGTTTTTTATTATTTTCAATGTCTTCTTGTTGTAAATCTGATAACTGTTAAAATATTCTATTCATTTTTCGACGTTATGTATTTTTTATTCAATAATTATTGTGCAATAACGTAACTTAATTAAATAATAATAAAAGAACCAATAATTTTAACTTACCAATTACCAATAACGTAACTTAATTAAATAATAATAATAATAGAACCAATAATTTTAATATTAATGTGAATTGAATTGTATTTTTCCTATCTTAATTGCGTAGTTTAAGCAATTTTAACTTATCATATTTTTCTTAATTTTTTCTCAATTGTAACTGATAGTAATGTTTTATTGGTCATTGTAATTTAAGTAATATATGTCCCTATCTATTTTTTTATTTATTTTTTAATTGATTGTTTATCTTGTTTTGGTGTAGTTATAATGTAAAGCGCCTTTGAACATGATTACTTATGGAAAGGGCACTATAAAAATGTGGTAAATAAATAAATAAGCAAAGAAGTATCTAATAAAATATAAATTCTACCAATCTTTTATAACAAAATTATGTATTATAATGAGACATAAATACCTTCGATATAAACTGTAGATTTCAAGCAACACATATGATATATCATTAAATTTAACACCAGGTCTTATTAATCTACCTAATCAAAAACATCAATCTTCCAAATTTTAATTTTAAATGCTATTTAATTACAAAAATTATTGGTGATCCGCTAACATTAGCGGATCACCTATTGTTATTGTCAGAATCTTTCTTTCTTTCTTTTTCTTCTTTCTTTCTCCCCAAATTTGTGACCACGATATCTCAAGATTGCTTCAACCGATCGACATGATATCTTCAACAATTATTAGTCTTGGGGTGGAATCGATACAATAAGCTTTTCAGCGTGATCAGTCACGCGTGACATCATCTACGCGCAATTTTGCGTTTTACGTAGCAAATTTTTTGATTGATCATAACTTCACCATCGTTAGGCCTGTTTTGTTGAAACTTCACACAGGTATACTTCATGTCAAGTACTATCCATATGCACA